GTTATGATTGAAATAATAACAATTGTTTGAGTCTGAGTCAATATTGTGATTCTCTTTCACAATCTTGCAGAATATTAGATGCCACCTCAGCTACCCTTTCAACTATTAATCTTATCATAAATGTAGAGACTTGGCTGATATTGGCTGATTAATATCTACATATGAAGAATAGTCCAATTGATATTGTAATATACCTTGATGCATTTTCTCTAGCATAAAGCTTGCACTCTTAATAACAGCTAGTCATAGCTTAATGCAGCTGTGAATATAATATTTGACTGTTCATTGTAGTTACAACTGTAAAGATACACTAAAATACCATATAGCTAAATATAAGAACAGAAAACACAACATGATCCTCCAATTTAACAATGTTTACTCAAGTACTATAATCATGCTTTACATCTTTCATTGCATATTGCAGTCTTATGGCTAAAAGGGCAATATTGTTACTGCACTATCTAGCTGCAATATAGTAGCCAGCAAAATATAGCAATATTTTTGGTATGACCTGGCTATATTGCTACACATATTTACATTTTCAACCTATTTTCATTTATTGCTGTCAGATTGCTGAATGATCCTACTTAATGTAATGTGATGCTTGATTTAGTAGCAGGATTCCAGACGTTTCAGGAAAAACCTAGGAACATATTATTTTGCTGAAAATGGATGTATTCACAAATATGTTTCACAAATAGGAAATATTGCAGACAATATTGCCAAGATATAGACCTGAGATACATAGTGGGGCCATATGCTGCAAAATAGACATGATGGCTGGGCTATAGTTGCTATACTAATAGCTAAATACGAGAGACAGTACAACATTTTCAATAAAAATAATTATTAAATTAGTTCAATTACTCAAAGCCCTGAAGTAGTTTTTTCATTATTAACCACAATAAGCCCAGGGTTAAATTATATCAATCAAAATAGTTATAGAGGCTAAATATATACTAAGTGACATATAAATCCGAACACCCAGTTTAAATGGTTTTATTTTAATAAAATTTTGTATAAGTACTTAATGAAGCATAATAAGTAAATGATAAAAATTTCAAAATGATTGCACTGCTTTAAAGCCCTTTGACCTTTAATAATGTGTGGATGCACCCTGATGTGCTACGCATTCTCCAACGCGCCTAGGCATGCTTCTGATCAGGCGGTCAATGTCCTCCTGTGGTATCTCATTCCAGGCAACCACCAACTCCTCTCGAAGTGCTTCTAGAGTCTGAGGAGGACGTTGCAAATTGAGCAATCTCCTACCCATCATATCCCACACGTGCTCAATTGGGGATAAGTCGGGAGATCTTGGTGGCCATGGTAACAATGTGACATCATTATGTTGAAAGAAGTCTATTGTGACTCTTGCAACATGTGGTCGGGCATTATCTTGTTGGAAAGTTGGATCTGCCAAGGTGTCAAGATAGGGTAAAAGATGGGTTCTAGAACTTCGTGGATATAACGCTGCGCGTTCATGTTACCTCTGATGAAGATTAAAGGTGACCTGGAACCATAAGCTATAGCACCCCAAACCATAACTCCAACAGTGTGATGAACATGTCTTTCAACAAAAAACTGTGGATTCCTCCTTTCACCACGTCGCCTTCTAACCCTGGCACGACCATCGTGCATGCCTAAACAAAATCGAGACTCGTCACTAAAGACAATACTGTTCCATTCCTGATCCCAGAGTGACCGTTGTCTGCACCACTCAAGGCGATTACGTCGGGACGACCCAGTGTGGCCGGTATGAAAACAAGCCAAAACTTCTCATTCGTCGGTAAACACTTCGCATGCCAATAGGTCTTCCGTGTTCTGCAAACCATTCATTTGCAATGGACCTGGTAGTGGAGAAACGGTCCCTTAAGGCCAATAATCTTAGGCGGCGATCTTCACGGTCTGTTGTTCTACGGCGGCGTCCAGTGCCCCTTGCTCTTTGCGTACGGCCTTCTCGAAGCCATGCCTGACAACACCTAACCACAGTGTCTACACTTCTTTGCACTCTAACTGCAATTGCCCGAAAAGAAAGTCCAGCTTCCCAAAGTCCCAGGAGCCGTATACCCCTATCAAACTCACTAAGTTGACGAAATCGTACAGGTCTCCGTACTCTAGGCATCGTAACCGATCGTAAAGGATGTCAAGAACCAAAATCCGCCAACGTTGATTCTTTACTGCGGCTGAAATATTCATTTTTAGAGCGTTAGTGAATTAAAAAAAAGCAGTATAAAAACCGAAATGTCCAACTGATAAGGCTGAAAATTTTTTCACTTGTTATTTACAGTAAGATAAATACATTCACCAACTTTTATTAAAATAAAACCATTTAAACTGGGTGTTCGGATTATATGTCACTTAGTATATATTGTTGATAACAATCAATGTTTAAAATGATGAGGATAATTCTATCATTAAATGAGATAAAAGATAACAGGCAAAAACAATGTTTTCCAGCGTGGAAACCATATATACCTAATCCTATAGGAAAAGAGTGAGCAGGTAACTCACAGATTATATACAGTAATGGACAAAAGTATATAGACAAATATGAATATTTACCTAAATACCTTTAGAAAACGAATTCATACTTCATTGCTACATAAACAAATGAGTTATTAGTAGAAAAACTAAATTTCTTGTTGTTACATTATCTGCAACGAACACAATACAAGTCTGAATATAAACACTCTTTTATGAGGGACAAAAATATGTAGACAAATTCTTTTCAACATTAGCTTAGTACAGTTTCGTGTCAGAAGAGGATTAGTGTTCATCAAGTATTGTGGAATAAGTTGAGTGATTTTTAGATCATGCCGTGTGGTCCACAAATTTCTTTCGATGTGAAAACTAAGATGGTCAACGTCAAGTCGACATTGCTGAAGTGTAAAGCAGTTTGGGCAATATTGAACAAATATAAACAAAAAGGTATCTTGGAAGCCTCTAAGAGAAGTGGTCAGCCTAGAAAACTAAATGCTAGATCAGTTAGATTAATGAAAGTAATTTCGTCCAAAGGTCCGTTTAAACCCCAAGACAAATAAATGCCGAAATCGAGACAAAAGGAATTGCCAGTGTTTCTACGAAAAATGTAGTACTCCAGAAGCTTGTCAACACCTAAGCCATATCCAAATTCAGAATAGAGTAAAACATAACAACATGTTCACGTGCATTGCATAGGTTGACTTAAATCAATGATCTAAATGAAGTTATTTTTTTATAAAAATCATTATTTAAATCAAACTTGATTTTTATAGTGAATGTTCATGGCTTACTTGGAATAATAATCAAATCAGCTACATAAAAGAAAAATAATTATTCGAATGCACAGTTTCCAACATTCAATAAGGCAAACTGTCATTACAGAAAACTATATACAAAAGTATATACACAAATATGAATATTACCTAAATACCTTTAGAAAACGAATTCATACTTCGTTGCCCCATAAACAAATGCGTTATTAGTAGAAAAACTAAATTCCTTGTTTTTACATTAACTGCAATGAACACAATACAAGTCTAAATATAAGCACTTTTTTATGAGGGACAAAAATATGTAGACAAATTCTTTTCAATATTACTTTAGTACAGTTTGTCAGAAGAGGATTAGTTTGTGTTCATGAAGTATTGTGGAATAAGTTGAGTGATTTTAAGACCATGACGCGTGGTCCAGAAATTTCTTTCGATGTGAAAACTAAGATCGTTGAGTTGTACAGAGATGGTCAACGTCAAGTCGACATTGCCAAAAATTTGAAGCTGAAGCGTAAAGCAGTTTGGGCAATATTGAACAAATATAAACAAAAAGGTATCTTGGAAGCCTCTAAGAGAAGTGGTCGGCCTAGAAAACTAAATGCTAGATCAGTTAGATTAATAAAAGTAATTTCGTCCAAAGATCCGTTTAAACTCCAAGACATATAAAAGCCGAAATCGAGACAAAAGGAATTGCCAGTGTTTCTACGAAAAATGCAAGTAGAAGATTAAATGATTTGAAGTTATTTGCACGTCGTCCGAGTAAGAAGCCGCTAATCTCGAGGAAAAACCGTAAGGACCGATTACAATTTGCACGGTTGCATCTTGATTGCAGCATCTGTGACTGGAAGAGGGTATGTTTTAGTGACGAATCGAAGTTCAATATGTTTGGATCAGATGGTGTTCATTACCTTAGATGTCCTAGTAGACAAAGATTGAACCCCAAGTACACTTTGCCTACTGTCAAACATGGAGGCGGGTCTGTTATGGTTTGGTTGTGCTTTTCAGGGTTTGGGATGGGACCTTTATGTAGAATAGATGACATTATGGATAGGTTTGTATACACAGACATACTAAAGCATGTCATGTTATCCTATATGGAAGACAATATGCCCTTAAGATCAATCCTCCAGCAAGATAATGACCCGAAGCACACTTCAAATCTCGCAAAGAAATTCTTTCTGGATCAAAAATAGCAGTTCTCAAATGGCCTTCACAGTCTCCCAATATAAACCCCATTGAAAACCTATGAAAATACTTAGATAAGCAAATATGAGATAAAAATTGTTCTGACAAGGATGAACTTTTTGCCACTTTAGAGCAAAAGTGGAGACAGAAGGATAAATCTTATATCAAGAAACTTCTACAACCTATGCCGAGATGATGCCAGGCGGTGATTGACAATAATGGTTATGCTACAAAATATTAACACAAACATGGTTGGTTTTCTATAATTCAATGCACTTTGCTTCTTTTTTCTATAATTGTTTTGCTTGTCTATATATTTTTGTCCTTCATAGTTCCAGTTTTTTCAATTAATTTTTTATTGATGAAGGGAGTCTAATGAATTTATTTATGTATAAGTGAGTATTATGCTATAACGAATTATGTATACAGGTTGGTGTATTAATAAAACAAGTTAAAAAAGAAATACAGCACAATATTAATTTGTCTATATACTTTTGTCCATTACTGTATATTCAACAGGTCTCCATTTACTATGCATAAATTGAACATTTCACTTTCACTTACCTTTCTTGTACGTATTTTGAACGCAAGAGTCGTAGCAGAATCCAATAAGATCAAATCTGTGATGGGGGGCATACATTGTCCCTTTCCGTAAATTAAACCGAATAATTTGTGGAACATCAGTTCAACTATCCCGTAAACTACTCTGATCACTTGTCTGGTGTAATATTTCACCGAATTATTGTTAGCTTTACTCATTTTCGCGACCGCTTTCCTTTTTTTGGGCTTGATAATTTGCCACATACACAGCTGTATCACTTGAAATTTTAACGAATATTGAGAGGAATATTAATGCCGGCACTGTACTAGAAAACTTAAGGTTGTCGTCATCACTATCAACTACAGTCGTTCAACGCGACTGGTTGAGTACATACTGAATTTTAATTTATAATTCCCGAATAGTGTCCAATTCAATTATGTTTTTGTGCGCATCTTGCCATGTTCAGTTTTGTTTTGACAGCTGTGCGACGGCATACAAAGAGATCCGTTCCTGTTAACAGAAGAGACGTCATGCCATGACAGGCAACAAAGCGCATACGTAGTAAGTGTTTACTCTGATGAACGTGGGAACATAATGATCCTCTTTACGCTGTGGCTAGGGCTACAGCCAAAGACTTTCGTTTCTATGTTTGATTCCAAAAATGGCTGCATGAAACGCTATAATATTGTATAACCTGACAAATATGAGGATAAGAGGTTATGTGAAATGCCAAAAAGGTTGATTCGCACAAAAGTTGTAAAGATTCAATATAGCACTTGAAATTTATCCTGTGGTTTTCATGCTGGCAATCCCCACGTTTTTCTGGACGCTAAATGAAACCACATATTTATGAGATTCTGTTTAACGGACGACGACGTTTCGGCTACTCTAATCCGGCGCTAAAAAGCACGATTTAGTAAGAAAGTACCAGCACACAAAAATGATTTTGGGAATCTACTTAATAGAGTTAGTATATTTTGTCCTCCTGCTGTCTCATAGATGCTACTAGGATCTTCGCTCCCTTTTTGGAGCCTCTCCTTCATGCGTACTTTAATTGAGTATCTTCAGGTTTTGAACAATAACATGAAGATACGTAATTAAAAATAGGCGTAAGAATAGTGCAAAAAATGAACACTACTACTACTACTCTTTTCAAACTATATTGTTTAGTTAATTTTTGTGTTTTTACGCTGTTCTCATAGATATGGTGCTAGGATCTTTCAGATCCCTGTTTGTACACCCGAATACACATAATACATGTTTGACTTTAGGTGGAATGCATAAGTAAAGGGCTCAACGATGTTCAAGATTGCCAGAATCCAGAAGTTAAATGATTTTTTTCGAATTTTGATGGGTGTTTGGATCAAAACGACCTTAGAAGTTAATATTGATGGAATTAGGAGAAACTATTAGGAAAGCAGTAAAAGTATTTGTTATCTATACTCTTTCGAGCTCCAAATTAAACTGTACAGCATCCTCGGCTCTTGTTTCGTACCTCTAAACAAAAAAATTCTGTGCAGTATTCCTGTAACACTAAGCACGTTCGGCTAAGGGCAGGATTAAGGTGACGATTCACTGCCAAAACCGACGGAGAACTGTAGCATAGTTTCAGTGTAAGCCACTTCTGATATGTGAATTTACACAGGTCTTTACCACATATGAAAAGGGCGCCTGTAGAATCTGATGTACAGTTCGAACAGTATACACATGTTAATTGCACGATCAACCCAAAATGATGACTCAATAGAAACTTCTCAACGCGCCCTCGTAATGGATGCTTGCCTTGTTTTAGCTGACGCAGGCAACCAGTTAAGCACAGTAAATAGGTTATTTTTGTCAGTTGTCACAGCTGTTTGTCAAAATTTCACGGTCTCGACCTGCGATTCAAACACTGATGTAATCAGCACTGTTTTGAACAAATATAGTACGAAATATTCATCGTACGTGTACGTAAAACAGTTCAAAAGGTTAGTTTTATACAAAAAAGTGAAAACTCAGTTCGGGCTTAAGGTGACAAAACGCACAGCGTCGTTTTTAGCTGAACTTTCGTTCAGCAGGGGCCAAGTTCACTCGCCTAGAAACCGAAGTACAGGGATCATTTATCATATCCCGAGTACATTGTGTTGCGACTGCATATTATATGAATTAACGGAGGTTTATATGCTGTTGTGTATAAAATAAATCAATGTAAGGTTATAAAGACGCCTCGCGCAAACTCGCCTAGTTTCCCGGAAGGATCCCGGTCAGACTGAGATTTTTAAAATGAACCCTCAAAAAAGTCCCAGCAAGCTGAGCAAAAGCAGTCTTGCTAGCTTGCTCAGCGAAAAGACTCAGAAATTGCCTTCTTTGGTGCCCCCAGTGCTTCAGCAAGTTGGAAAATTGGCAGCTGGAGTCGCCAGTGTCAGTACGGAGCTTCTGGGCACAGGATCAGCAACAGGTCAGTGTCATAGTATATATTTGAAATTTTAATTTGTTTGTCATATTGATTACTATTTATTTATAAATATCAAACAATTCGCGCCTAAAACAGTGGGTGTATTACTGGTTGCACGCCTTGTGCAAAACAAACGACTGTATAGACACATTTTCATATTGGTTGGGAAATAATAATAATAAACGAATGGTTTGTTCCTACAGCCTGTTTGCTGACAATCAGCAAACTAATAGTCGGCGACAAGTCATGACCTAGTTTACGCAGTTAGCTGTCACTGACACGTCGCTGACTGTATTGATTGTGTACATGAGAACGTTACGAGTTGGCTGAGAAAGGTAAGACCGATTACCGACAAGTAACCCGCTGTTCGTACAGAAACTTCTGACTGTTTTATGACTGTCAAATTAGTCAGTAGATACTTTGCCAGTAAATTGTCAGAGCTCGAAATCAAGTACAATCATTATTCAATGTAAAATTTTTCAGAATGAAGTAGACAATTTTGGAGAAGTTGGAGTATGTTCATTTGCTGTAAACCAGAATGATCTAGGATTTTTCGTCCAACTGCTCGAATTTGCTCGAATTTTCCTCTAGAGATGAAAACATGGACACTTTCTAGAAAAAATAACAGCACCCAAAAATGTCAAGTAGATTTACTCAGTAATTCTCATTCAATTCTCATATAAAAAGTATAAACATAAATTCGAAGAAATATGATTCCACGCATCAAATGACGAGTTGAAGAAGTAAATACATAGTAAGAATTCTGAATAAACGTCTGCAGTGGTTATGCATGAGAAATGTACAAAGCATTGTGAATGACTTTTAATAAAACTCAGACACTATTATTTTTGTTCCCTTGTCGCCCAGCCTCGAAGTGTATGCACAAACAGTATTTATTTATATTCTAGCTACGTAAGTTCAGCAGAAAGCTGATGAAAAAAAAAACAAAATAACGAATTCTGGAGATTTTGTGATACAGCTTTTTTTCACGGGTGCCCACGGAGAGGGAGTGGCCGACTCTTTCCGCTGGGGTGAAAATAATATTTTCCCTATACAGGGTATTTTAAATTCGACCCTCACCATACTTCCAGCAAGAAACGTAAAAAACGAAATTTCCAAAAATGGTTTTAATTTTCTCCTTACTTTATTTATGATGGGATATCAAAATAAATTGCACATAAACGCTGCCAAATTTTCTCCTCTATAAGACAGCACAATCAGAATTTCAATATGACGTTTCGTCTCTTGTCCTAAAGAATCAATTAATTTTTTCTTATAGACACCAAATTGGATTCTTACACACATGAATAGAATTTTTAGAATAAAAAAAGTTCCTAGGTAGGCTTTGAAATTATCAGATTTTATTTGCTTGCATATCGACAGAGTTTGGAAGACTGTGAAGACCTCTGCTTATTTATGGCTATTATTGTTATTACCATCAATAAAATTTTTATTTCCTATTCAGGTTTCACCATATCTTTATATTTCCTTATATTTTTTATCCAACAATAAATTTATGGTCAACTAATGAAGTACATCACTGAATTTAGGGGTGAAAAGTCCATTTAAATGTACAAAATTCCAATATAGTGTCCGTATGAAAAAACAAAATTGAGAATGTCGTAAGAAGAAATGTCGAATTGAAAATTTGACTATGCCATCTTGTAGACAAGAATAAGTAACAATGACAATGTTCAATTTATTTTAAAATCCCATGTCAAATAAAGACAGGAAAAAATAGAGCGATTTTGGGATAAATTTGGTGAGCGAAACAAACATCTGATAATTTCAAGGCCTACCTAAGAAATTGTTTTTTTTGAAGTAACTAAGGTTTGGCAACGTCACTGTATGACGTATTATGTATTTTTGAATCAAAATTAAAAACTCTATTCATCTGTGCAAAAATGCAATAAAGCAGCTTTAAGAAATAATAAAGTTGATGCTAAGGACAAGAGACGAACCGTCATAAAGAAATTCTGATTATGCCTTCTTGTAGTCAGGAAAAAATCAAAACGATTTTGGGAAAATACAGTTTTTCCCTCACTCTCCGGAAGTATGTACCTTGAATTTCGAAATTTTCTGTCATTTTGTTAACTACTCCATTTAAGAGACTTCGTATCCCTTACAGTTTCCAAGATCCCAATGGTTAGTGCCAAATTAGAAACACCCTGTATATGCAGACTCTCACTAGAAGAAAGAAGTAAAAATACTACAAAGATTTAATAACGTCTTTGAATAATAAAGAGTGTTATTCACTAACATAACTACAATTATCAAGATCTGCTTACATAGCTATAAGTTTCACAGAGTTTCCAACATGGACAAAAAGAACTGAGACTACTAAAATACATAGAAGTAAGGCTTAAATCGCGTAATTTCTCATTTTGCAACTGTAACAACATTTTTCAAAAGATTAGTGATCACAAAAATCGTATTAATTGTGGTTCTTGAATGTTATGTCCTGTGTAGTTCGGATTTTTCATACTGTATTTATAATCTTCATTTTGCCATTACAGGGTCAATAAACAAAATATCGAGCACAAAGCACTTGGCGCTGGCTGATATTTAATATGGAATTTCAATAAAATTTCTTCTGCCACTTGCTCACCCGAAAATGTTACAAAAACTTTTTTCTGTTGAATTGTGGCACTGTTTTCTCTAAATTTAGTTTTTTGGGTTTCATTCTCTCCTCAGTAGATCTTCAAAGTCTTCATCGTCTTGGTATATTAGATATTTTTTTTACACCGAAGCAAACGTGAACATGCTAGGGCACCGCGGCTCCTTTGAGGAGCTTAAAGAAATTTTGTTATTCCCATTTTTGAACTGCCTTAAGTTATTAGAACTGGGAAAAGCTCCTCATGCAGATTGTTAGACGATCTCGACACCCTCGAAATAAAGGAGCGGTCTTATCGGCCAGTTCTAGATGTACGAAGTACGACACGGTTACGATGGGAGGCCGTAGTCAGGCAGGCACATCGCGCGGCGACACCATGGAAGAGAGCTCTGAGGAGCAACGCCCGTTCGCGTAGCTAGATAGTCAACGGCCCGTCGGTGTCCCCAGACCGTCCACCAGAGAAGAGTAATCGATCATTAAATGCCTCTTGCGAAGCAATTTCAGTCCTCAAGGTAGTTTCGAAGAACTCTGATACCTGTCACTGTCACTGGTTGACTGGTGTCCTCTGACCTGTCAGAAGGTTCTGTACGAACAGCGGATAAGCTGTCGGAAAACAGTCAGAAACTCTGATTCTGATTTTGACAGTCACCGACAAGTTACCGACTACTGTACGAACAAACCGTATGGGCTGACTAATTTTTTACCCAGAATTCGGCACTATGACAACTTTGATTTTTTCGCATGTGAGCACCGATAACGAAAATAGATTTTTAATACCTACCTCAAAAATATGATGTACCTACGTCACCGGCAAGATTAGATACTCTCAAAGGGACTTAAGGGATTGAGTTTTAGCATCCCAAAATACAATATGGTGGTGGTCATTTGAACTGCATTTAAAGCAACTTAGTTGCCCACGTTACAAAAAGGATAAAAAATGGCTTATTCAGGAATATAAGTCCAATCATGCCTATAATACGTTTTAGGGCAGTTGAAATATAATTCGGCGCCAACTTAATCCGACAATGTCCTATTTTCGAGATATCTGCAACAATTATTCTAACTGTTACATAAGTTTCATAAAAATTGTAATTATCACCATAATATCCGAATTCAGCGTATCAACGATTTTTTTACAGCAAAGTTTTTTGCACTTTTACATCAGACAATAGGCATCCTGAACAGGAACCATTATGATATCTAAATGTAGTTATTCTAAAATATCTACGAATCTGGGCTCAGAGGCCCAAAATATACATGGTGGTAGTCATTTGAACTGCATTTGAAGCATTTCGACTCATTTTTAGTGACAGTGTATTACGTTAAAAAAAGGGCAAAAATGGTTTACTCAGGAATGTAATCCCAGCTATATAATACGGAATCCGAAAACCATTTGGCCCGGCAATGTTCCATTTTTAATGTAATCTGCAAATCTGAGTTCTGTATAATGCAGATGCGTAGATTCCGTACCTCTTCCAGATAAAATTACTAATACTGCACAATCCGGTATCTAGCAAGCACAAAAACTCCTTTTAACAAAATTTTGTAATTTTGAGTTAAAATCGAAAAAGTTGGTTTGAACATGGAGAAACAATCACCTAAGCAATCTTGAGCAACTCTTTAAAACACGGAGATTTCTTTATGTAGATGGGATAGCAGTATTTTGCCTTCAAAAACTATATTGTGAGTGGCGTTGACAGTTTGGCGAGGAGTATTGTAATCGCGAAAAATTTCGAAAATCAGTTATGTTTTTTGGATGTTATATATATATAATATATATATATATATATATATACATCGCGAAAACACATCGGTCTGTCGGCCTGTCTGTCCATTGCCCGTCTAAAACTTGGAAAATACCGCTCGGATTTTGATGAAATTTTCACACGAGACAACAACTATGTCAAGGACGAACAATCTTTGTAGTTTTTGAAAATTGCTCAAACTTCGTTTCTTGACATTTCGGATGTTTCTGACCATTTTCAGAAAATTTTTTGTAGGGGTTCAAAAACCGGGGTTGGAGGTTGTAGTTGTGGAGTAATCCTTCATGAACTGATGATAGCTTTGCGTGGGAAGTGCAGAGTCAACCTACTTGACGCGATTTTTTATTTGGCCAAGTATCGCTTAGTTCCTGATTAAAAATGAAAATGAAATCGGACGTATATTTAGCTAAGCAGAATATTTATTTTGGCTTGCTATAATTCACAGTTTGTCCCCGGGGTTTCAATGATCGCCAACATAGAAATTATAAGAAAATTCAGGAAAAATTAAATCGACCTACATACTTTTTTATCCGCTCTTTTGTAGGGCAAACGCCATTTTTATCCGATTATCAACCGGTGTATAATGTATTTTCATTTGATGGTCCACGATAGGAGTTAAAGTATACAAGAACCCCTAGATGGAAATTAGTGTTTCCTCTGCACATTTTTACATAAAAAAGCAATATGCTGGCCGCAATATTGTCATCATATCCGCTTAGAAAAACAAATTGTAATTTATTATAGTATACTTATCCTCCTCAGGGCCCTACTCTCCGTCGAGCCTTTCTAGATGAGTATCTTTTCTCCCCAAGTCCCTTATAGATATAACGAACAGCGCGATCTATATAAAGATCAGAAACGGATAATTTCTGGTATAATTTTCAGAGAGATTTATTGGGTTGTTTGTTTCTTGCTTTCCTTATCATAAATTCTATTATGAAGCACCAAGACCTTGCATAATTTAGCAAGTACCATACGCAAGGCTAAACAACAGAGGGAACTCGACTATGTTCGGGAACCGAAAAGGAAGAGACCAACAAAATACGTTGCACGCCCATGCTAACGCGGTATTTTTTTAATATGCGCCGACTTTGTCAATTTGAAAAGATGTAGCGT